CACAGTGTGTACGCACAACGCTGTCATATATAATCCATGTCATCAAGGAGCAAGAAACACGCTCTTTGTTTGCAACTGTCATGACGGCTACGGTGGGCTTAGCTTCCCAGTGTCATGTTAATGACATCAAAGTCTTTAGCTGTCATCTATTATGACAGAAGATCTGATTATACCTCCTCTGTTTATACCACGCAGCCTTCTTCACTCTCATTTCCATTTCATTTCATATAAAAGCCCACAAGCGATGTGCTGAGGTCTTCATTTATTGCTGTGAGATTTCATGATGGTTTTAGGGGTAGCTATGAGAATTTGTGTCCATGTGTGGCTGTCTGTCTAAAATGTTTAGCATTCTGCAGAACAGTCCTCATCACAGCAGTGTAGACTCAAGGACAATTGGATTAGAGGCCGTTTGTTGCATACCCCCATTAACACAGGAATTTTCAGGGAGCAGAGCGGAGTCTTAACCAAACTCTGCACTCTGGACACCTTCACCATTTATAATGAGCTGTTAAAGCTTTATGATTTTTTTGATTTAGAGGGAGACATTTGTTGTCTTCACCTCACATCACCCAAGAGGCAGTCGAGCCTCGACAAGGGCAACAGGCTACTGTCTGGTCAGATTGATCTCCTGGGATCCAGCTGATCTCCTGGGATCCAGCTGGCCCTTTGATTGTCTGGCTAGTACAGCAAGAAGAAGCCTAAACTTAACTAAACTTTTAATCACAATGTATTTACAAATATATTGATGGGACAATCTTGAGTTTCTATACAGAGAAGTCTTTGTTGCTAACGTTGGATTTGAAACTGATAAAACAGAAAAAAATGATAATGATAAAGTTAAATGTTAACTTAGACAAGCTGTCTATCTTATTCTCTATGCGTTTGTTCTTCCTTTCTCCCTTCATCCAATGCAACAGAAGTGCTTAAAATCATTCTTATTCTCGGTGTGTGTGTGTGTGTGTGTGTGTCCCTCCAGAGTCGCGAAAGTTCCTTCTATATGCTCGTCAGATCGAGATCCGGGGTGTAGACATTGACAACCCCCATTACAACTACATTATCTCCTTCACCGTGCTGGACATAGACAACGTGACAGTGGTGGATTATGACGCTGTGGAGCATCGCATCTACTGGTCAGATGTCCGAACGCAGACTATCAAGAGGGCTTTCATTAATGGCACAGGGGTGGAGACTGTTGTGTCTGCTGGTAAGAACCTTATAGGAATATCTGTCCAGTCCTTTTTTTTTTCTTTTATATTTTTATTTCACTTTATAGTTCAAACTTTCTTTATCTGTCTGAAAATTAGATTAAAACCCTAACCTTTTCAATTGTGGTACATTTCCCAGACCTTCCCAATGCTCACGGGCTGGCGGTAGACTGGGTGTCCAGAAACCTCTTCTGGACCAGTTATGATGCCAATAAGAAGCAGATCAATGTGGCCAGACTGGATGGATCTTTCAAGAATGCTGTCATACAGGGCTTAGACAAGCCCCACTGTCTGGTGGTGCATCCTCTACTGGGGTGAGTGTTCTCTTCGTTTAGTTAGGTATGCATTCAGTTCAAGATTTGATTTGTGTCTCTGATGCTCTTTTTCTGTTTTCCTTTTGACTTAGTGTCCAAATGAAACACAGTTTCCTTTTCTTAATTTCCTTTTCAATTGCTTTTATTTAAACTTAAAGCCATAAATTCAAGAGCATGTGCTGCCTAAGTGCTTTAAAACAATGCGCTATGGTGTTTTTTGAGGTACAGCTGTAGTTCTTCTTTGGTAGAGCATCGCTCTGATCTAGAAAATAGATTTCACCTCCTCTCCATGTCTCATGACATTCATATCCCTCCTCAGGAAGCTGTACTGGACTGACGGTGACAACATAAGCATGGCTAACATGGATGGTAGCAACCACACAACACTTTTCACATATCAAAAAGGACCAGTAGGTGAGCACATATATACCCCACTACTGCCAAAAATATCAGATTCTCAATTTAGTTCTACTTGGTAAAAGCAGAGATTAAGCGTGTTAGTGTAAGAGATGTATATGTATCATTGCATTGTTATTCTTTCCACTCAGGGCTTTCTATTGACTATGAAAAAGAGCAGCTGTACTGGATCAGCTCAGGAAACAGCACCATTAACCGCTGTCAGCTGGATGGAACTAAACTGGAGATCCTAGAAGGTGTTAAAGGCAAACTTACCAAGGCTACTGCACTGGCTATTATGGGTAAGATAAAGATGATTCATCAAGTTCTCTTTGTTTTCAGATTATTCTAATCTGAAAGTGATAACATACAATGGCTATGAATCAATTTCCCTCACTGTAGGAGACAAGCTGTGGTGGGCAGACCAGGGAACTGACCAGATAGGAACTTGTGACAAAAGCGATGGAGGAAGCTGGAAGGTATTGCGAAACAACACCTCCCCTATGATGCACATGAGGATCTATGATGAGGATGTGCAGAAAGGTAAGAAATATTAATTGAAAAATGGTTCTGCTTGTGTTGTCAGTATTTAGAGTCAAACAGTAATTCTATATCAGTTTGAAAGACAATTTAGATCAAATTTACTTTAGTCTCATGTTCTGAAGCTGCTGTAAAACTCACCAAATTAGTCCTCTATTTATCGTGAAACTCTTCTTGGGCCTCACTTCTTCACCTTTTCCTTTAGCTGGTATCAACCTGTGTAGTAACAACAATGGAGACTGCTCACAGCTGTGTCTGCCTACCTCACCAACAACCAGGGCCTGTATGTGCACTGCTGGATATAGCCTCAAAACAGGACAGCAGTCCTGTGAAGGTAAGACACTGCTTTACAGCTACAGTCACACATACAGTAGGTCTTAGTGTGTCCTAAAAAGAAAAACGTATCATATTGTACTGTCTCTGAGCAGGTATGGGCTCTTTCCTGCTTTACTCTGTTCATGAGGGAATCAGAGGAATTCCACTTGACCCGGCAGACAAATCTGATGCCTTGGTGCCAGTGTCTGGCACCTCTCTGGCTGTCGGCATCGACTTCCACGCTGGTGAGTGACATTGAGGGACATCAGTAACTGGAAGGCCTTGTTCGAGTGGCATTTTAAAGCTGTCTAAAGCTTATCTCAGTGAAGTGTGTATTTATAGGATGACACAAAATGCCTCTTCGTTTTCAGAGAATGACACCATTTACTGGGTGGACATGGGTCTGAGCACCATCAGCAGGGCTAAGAGAGACCAGACATGGAGAGAAGATGTGGTCACCAACGGCATTGGCAGAGTAGAAGGCATCACCGTTGACTGGATAGCAGGTCTAGTCATAACAGATATTCAATTATTTTATATATATTCAAAATATTGTTTTAATTCACTTGTGCATACTACACAGTTGGACAGCATTGCTGATGTGTACCCTTCTTTTACAGGAAATATTTACTGGACTGACCAGGGCTTTGATGTGATCGAGGTGGCCAGGCTGAATGGCTCCTTCCGTTATGTTGTAATTTCTCAGGGCCTGGACAAGCCCAGAGCCATCACCGTCCACCCAGTTAAAGGGTAAAGCTCTGTGCCAACAGTTTAATTCTCCCTTCAAAAAATGCTGTTGCCTTTTGGTACTTGCAATGTAGTTTCAACTACTACTATATTTCTAACATGCACTTTTAAAACATCTTCTCTGTGTCCTTGTGCTCAGGTATCTGTTCTGGACTGAGTGGGGTCAGTACCCTCGTATTGAGCGCTCTAGGTTGGACGGCACCCAGAGGTTGGTGCTGGTCAATGTGAGCATCAGTTGGCCAAATGGAATATCTGTCGACTATGAGGTGTGGACCACAGCTGACATCATTGCTTTTCCTTCAACACATTTCAAATGTCTAGTTGGAACAAGCAAGCCAGTCTCCCTGAATAATCAACGCTATTTTATTTCTCCTTTGTTTCTGCAGGCGGGTCTGCTGTATTGGTGCGATGCAAGGACAGACAAGATTGAGCGTATCAACCTTGAGACTGGAGAGAACAGGGAGCTGGTGCTGGCCAACAACAACATGGACATGTTTGCTGTATCTGTTTTTGAGGAGTACATCTATTGGAGTGACCGGTCAGTTCAGTAGTTAATTAATTTGTTTATTGAACCAATCTTTTTCCATTGCTCTATTATCTAGTCATACTTGCTGATGCATGTGAATCACGTGGAAGATTTCATATTGTATCATGCTGTTAATTGACTCACAGTTTTGCTTTCTTTTATTAAGGACTCATGCCAATGGCTCCATTAAGAGAGGTAGCAAAGACAACGCAACAGATGCTGTGCAGCTCAGGACTGGCATTGGTGTACAGCTGAAAGACATCAAGGTTTTCAACAGGGGCAGGCAGCAAGGTAGGAACACACAAAACATGCACACTTTTAAACTTTACCACAAACCCTAAAAAATTGTCTTTTTTGCTATGAAGTCTGGCAAAAATGTCCTCACAAGATGAGTGGGCTGCCCTGAGTTTGTCCTCACATATATACAGAGACGAGCCTTCACGCACAATGATAAATACTTATACCACCTAACTTAATCAACACCCCACAGGAATCAGTGAAATGCTGTGTGTAACCAGGCCTAATTATTTGTTTAACGACACATCTCATAAACATGTCACACACTCCCCAGGCACCAACGTCTGCAAAGACAACAATGGCGGCTGTGAACAGCTGTGTCTTTATCGTGGCAACGGGGAGCGCACCTGCGCCTGTGCTCACGGCATGCTGGCAGAGGACAACCGCGGTTGCCGTGACTACGACGGATACCTGCTGTACTCAGAGCGTACCATTCTGAAGAGCATCCACCTATCCGATGAGACAAACCTCAACGCGCCAATAAAGCCGTTTGAGGACCCTGACCACATGAAGAATGTCATCGCCCTCAGCTATGACTATCATGGAGGTGGAGGGAAGGGAGCGAATCGCATCTTCTTCAGCGACATCCACTTTGGCAACATCCAGCAGATCAACGATGATGGCACCGACCGCAAGATTGTGGTAGACAGTAAGTATGGTCATCAATTACATGTCATTGCTTTCAACACCTCAGAAAATCCACAAAACTCTTCTAAGCATCTCTTATCACACCTAAACCTTTCTGTCCGTTCTGTCTTTCTACATAAATTTCAGCTGTGCTTTTTTGTGGTACCATTTCTTCTATCCTGTCCATTAATAATAGAATGTTGTCCCTCGTCTCCTCAACACTGTAAACAGCCATCATCACACATATTGACAACACAAGCACCCTGGAGGATCCACTGTAATGTACACACAGCTGCAGCTTCTCAACTAGAGGAGATTGACATCACTTAGGGCTGCCACTTGAAGAAGACACACACACACACACACACACACTGTGCTTTTTGCTTGTTTCAACACTGAAGTGTCTTTTAAATCCCTCTCTGTGTAAATGATTCAGGAGTAGGTTGTTGAACTCCATCCAGAAATGCATCACACTTAAAAGCCCTGGACCAAAGCTGTTCTTAGCAAGCAATATTCAAAACATTAATTATTTGATAGGAAAGACAGGAAAACAAGTAAAGTGCATGGGGTTAGTGTGTTTTATTGATGCTGCATTGAGATCAGGGTTTTGAACAGATTGTGCAAAGGATGGCTACCAACTACAGAATGCATTATAGTTGAAGGAGAATTTAATACAGCTAAGATTTGGAGTGTAATAATTCAAGATAAGGCAATAAATAAATATTATCATATTAAGTTTTAGTATAACTATAAAGTGATTATATGATGCTGGTGTTTATTACATTATGCTGTACAACTGATTAAATCCAAGGAAATTGTATTTACAACAAACTTGTTTTTTAGTTCACACATGAAGAGTTTAATCTGATTTAATACATAACAGTTCAATGCATTTAACATCACCTTGGAGTATTGCACATGTAGTCTTGCATACAGTTCCATATAGGGATATATAAATATATAGAGAGATGGTAAAATGTTCTTTTTATATGAACACCATGATATTTCTGGCCAAAGAGTCAGTTCTGGCCTCTTTCTGAGGTTGTGTCCAGCTCAAATGGCTGTACCATGTCACTGGCCATCACACAAGGGCAACCAGTCAGACAGCCTTTGCACCAGGCCCAGCGTTCTCGCCCCAGCTCTACTAAATCTCGTCTAAACTTCTGAGACACAAACGCATACAGTACAGGGTTTACCACTGCTACTGAGGATGCCAGCAGTCTGGCAATGATGGCAATGGTATTGTAGCCAGGTGAGCTTGTTAGGGTCCCTCCAATAAAGGAGAACATGAGGGCATAGGAGGGCAGCCAGAGGAGAGTGAAGACCAGGACCAGGAGAGCTGAAGTGTGAGTGACCTGGCTCTGGTAGCGCTCCAGCTGGGGAGCGTTCCCCAGCAGCCGTGCGTGTCGAAGAAAACAGTAGATCTTGGCATACATCAATACAATAATGCCCAGTGGTAGAGCGAAGCCGAACAGGAAGAGGGCGATGCTGTAGACCAGCTGGCTGAAGTCAGACAGGAAGGCAAAGCAGTACACAGAGCTGGACACGGTAATTGTGCGGAAGGCAAACTGCGGTGCTGCCAAGGCCGAGGCAGGGACCCAGAGAAGAGCTACCGTTAGCTTTACGCGTTGGTGCACTCTTGAACGGTACGCCCAGGTGGGGTGTACCACGATCAGGTAACGGGTCACAGCCAGAGCAGCCAGGGTAAAGACTGAAGCAGCTGAGCAGGCCACACCCAGGAAGCTGACGGCCTTGCACAGGAAGCTGCCAAAAGGCCAGAAGCCCAGGGTGATGGCAGAGGTGTGGAAAGGCAGGCATAACAGCAGCAGCAGGTCAGCAGCACTCAGAGCAAGCAGCAGGGTGTCTGTGCCATGCAGGGGTTGACTTTCTTTCCTCTTCCTGCCAGTTAGAATGGTGATGACCAGGGTTTGGCCCACCAGGCCAGTCACCAGGATTAGTCCGTCCAGAATGGGAACCATGGCTTTAACCAAAGCGTTATCAGCCCTATTCATTTGGCCAAGGCTGCTGCTGTTTACTTGCTGCCCCAACGTCTCCATGCATTCACAATAAAAGTTCATTGAGTAATTAATCTAATGGCCTGTTAAATTTAAGCATCAGAACAGCATGTTTATGCAGTGTCTGGGTGATGCGTTTGTTGGCTCCAGTTCGTGTCTTAATCAACTCCATTAAACACTCTCATAATGATAGCAGTTTAAGTTAAGCAGATAATATTGCATTGGTCAGACTTCCTGGTTGACATTTATTATCTGCAGAAAAACAGAATTGAAAGAATATATTCCAGCTTAGTTTTATTTTTTGGGTGTGGAGTTGTACATGTTATCTGCAAAAATATACAGTCCATCATTAGGCAGTTGGTGCACAGATAGTGAATAGCGGTTAAGTACACTACCTCTGAAGCCACACACGCGCCTGTAAGTGTCTGGTTTAATCCCCCTTAAAAGTTGTCCTTCCACTGTGTCACCTTCACTGTGTCCCAGAAATTATAACTACTTAAAGATGATTGGATACGACCTCATACCTCTAGATTAAAAAAAAAAAAGTGATAGTCTCGGAAAAACTTCTCTTAAAATATTTTGGTGGGATCCAGTTTTACTCAAAAAGCAAAAACAAAATAATAAACATGACCTTAAAGAGCAATCCTTGTACACTGGCTTTTCCTTGTCTGCATCAGCATGTCATCCATAATCCAAGGAGGAGCGGTTTGGGTCAAAGCTGGAGCGATGTCAGTGCAGCAGTTACTCTGTGGCTGTATTGATTTCTTGAAACCAGGCAACAGTGGACAAATTCATCCCAGTGGTTGCTAACAGGCCTTCCACTTTAAAGCAGTCAATGCTACTTGACGCTAAGTGGTCACAGCAGCAGGAGGTATCTTGTCCATTTAGAAGCTCTTCAGAGACTTGTATCCTGTAAACTTCACCAGCAGAAGAGTTACTGTACAATTAACATGACCTTCTGTCATAGAGGGAATAAATAAGTTTAGGATCTGAAATGAACAGTAACAAAGTAATTCTCCGGTGTTGCTTGGATTACTATGCTATTCCTGTGATAGTCCGAAAGGCTCTGGTCTGAGTGGCTATGGTCTTCCAAACAGGTCTTAACCACTGTTTGCATAGTAACCAAGGGCTGAGCGGATCCAGGCAAGGGGAGGGGAGATAGTGCTGTTTCCCATTACATAATACTGGCTTGAACCTACTTTATTCATCCCAGTGTGTGATCTTCCCTTAATCGAAGCAATTAGCTGCTCAAGTGCACCTTTTTCTCATTTGTGTTTTGTACAGCATTCGTTGTTGAGTGTGACTTTGTTTGCGTGACTCTGCTCTGAACCGGTCTTTTAGTTGCATTTGGGTTGGTTAACAAGGTATTCAGCCTTTAAATTGTCCTGCATTAAGGTTAATTATGGCACTTTGTTACTCATCTGAAACATCTATTAAAGGGCAATTATTGACTTTCAGCTGAGAGCCAACCGTTGCGTGTTGAGGTTTTTATTGTTGGGTCTAAGTGGTCATAAATGTGGTTGCTAGTATGACCAAGAACAGATGGATGCACACCTTGGAGCCCATAATGCTGCAGCACAGTGTCCTTTTCCACAATGTTGTGTGTCATGTAGGCACCACAGATAAAAATTATTACTACTACTGTATGTACTATGAGTGGGGGGTTGCAGGACAAAAGGACCATGGATATAGAGAGCAGCTGCTTTATCTTTGCCGTTCATGGCTGACTTTTTCACCCTGGCTTATATCCCCAAAGTGACTCAAGCTGTTCCAGTGGCAGTTTTATTCCCAGAACAAGAAGTCACCATGCATGAAAATGTCTACAGGGAGCTGTATTTGTATGTGCAGGCAGCCAGCCATGAAATGACAGGATGATACAGACTCTTTAAGTCTCTCTATGAACAGCAGGCGTGGCACACACTCGGATCTGTGCAATACCACGTCCATGTTACTCTTTATTTTTCACTTTTCTTTTTAACCTTGTCCTCCTTGTGTTTCACTATTCATGAAATGATGTGGGAAGATGGGGAAAAGTGTAAAAGCATTCACTGCCGCCTCTTGAATAAAGTCTAAAGTCAGAGTTAACCATGGGGGCAATCATGACAGTGATTAATGATTTGTTGGATTCTCACTGAAGGTCCTCATTAAAGCTCCTAGTAGCACCCCTGAGAGGTGATATTATTTTATAGTGAAATAAAAACTATTTGTTCATCTCATGTTTTCTGCTTCTTACAGCTTTGGCTGGACGACAACAAAAGGACTATTGTCTTGGGTCCAAAATATTTACCGCTGGCCAATTTCTTTCTTTCCTGTTTCACAGATGTAGGGTCAGTTGAGGGCCTGGCATACCACCGTGGTTGGGATACACTCTACTGGACCAGTTACACAACCTCCACCATCACTCGCCACACCGTGGACCAGAGCCGCTCTGTGGCCTATAACCGCAACACTGTGGTCACTATGTCTGGCGAAGACCACCCCAGAGCCTTTGTGCTGGACGAGTGTCAGGAGTGAGTCAATAATTTTGAAACTTGGTGTTCTGCATTGTATCGGGGCCCCGTTCCAATACTTTGTCTTTTTTTTTTCTCCTTTCTTTTGAACAGCAGATTTATTTAAGTTCAGTCAACCATAACTTTTGTACCAGAACATTTTGGAAACTCCCGCTGCACATCATAATGCTTCTCCTGTGTTTCTTCCCGCTACAGTATCATGTTCTGGACCAACTGGAATGAGCAGGCTCCCAGCATCATGAGGGCCTCTCTGAATGGAGCCAATGTGCTCGTGATCATCGGCAGTGACATTAAAACTCCCAACGGCCTGGCAATAGATCACCGTGCTGAGAAGCTCTACTTCTCTGACGCCACACTGGACAAGATTGAACGTTGCGAATATGATGGAAGCAGCCGTTATGTAAGGCGGCCCTTTAAAAAATTTTTTGGGCTATAAAGAATACTGTATCAAGGTTTTGACTTACACTTAACTGTTCTGTGAAATGCTGCCTATATTTTTCTGGTTCAGGTCTTGTTGAAAAATGAGCCTGTCCATCCATTCGGCCTGGCTGTGTATGGAGACTACATCTTCTGGACAGACTGGGTGAGGAGGGCTGTGCTTAGAGCTGACAAATACACAGGAGGAGACATGAAAGTGCTGCGTGCTGACATCCCCCAGCAGCCAATGGGCATCGTTGCTGTGGCTAACGACACCAACAGCTGTAAGTATTATTCACCAAAGTCACTATAAGGTTTCAATAAGTTGCTCCTCTCATTTTCATAAGTCCAGCAGGTGTCATTCAGTGGGACATAAATTTCTGTCCAGCTCAGAATGAACTGTAATGACTTTGGTGATGGCTTTTCATCTAGCACCATCATCATCTTAAATTTGTAATTTGTCCAGTGCTTTGGTTTATGACCAAATATCTAACCAAAACTAATGACATTGCTACCAACCCCAGCTGTACTTTGTGTTTCCAATTAGCAAATGTTAGCATGTTAACAGCTAAACTAAGATGGTAAACATACCTGCAAAGGACCAGCATGTTAGCATTGTCATTGTGAGCTTGCTGGTGTAAGCATTTAGCCTCACAGAGCATGGCTGTAGAGTGTTAATCTTGTACATCCTGAAAGCCAACTTCATAATACTGTGAATTCATATCATTAGATGCGGTACATCCTGCTGGACCTCCTGTCCATCATTTGACATGCAGAGGAAAAAGTCTCCTCAAGGAAATAATACATTACTACCCTAACTAACCCTCCTGTGTTATACATTCCTTAGGTGAGTTCTCTCCTTGCCGAACAAATAACGGAGGTTGCCAAGACCTGTGTCTGCCCACATCCGATGGACGGGTTAACTGCAGTTGCCGTGGAGACAGAAAACTTCTGGAAGACAACACTTGCTCTTGTAAGAGAGAGAGAGAGAGAAACTCTTCAATAATTTTTGGATCCAATTTTACAAAGCCTCCTCTTGATTAAAAGGTTTCATGTTGCTGAATTCAAATGTTTCTACCTCACCAGCACTGAATATGTCATGTGGAAGTGTGGATGACTTTGAGTGTGGAAACGGCGACTGTATCAACTACAGCCTGACCTGCGATGGCATGGCCCACTGCAAGGACAAGTCTGATGAGAAGCAGTCCTATTGTGGTGAGTGTTTTATGGGGCTGTTAGTTAGTGAGCAATGAGCTGTCACAGGTCATCATTTAGGTTTTATAATTTGCAGATAATTAGCTGATGGTCATATTCAAAGCAATTTAGTTAGATTAAGTGCACAAATACAATAAATTCTAATTAGATAGCGAGGAGGGTGAGAGCTAATATGTGACTACAGAATAGCCAAGGAGAAAATGACTACCGGGGAAAGAGATGTAAATTTTGAGCTAAGCGGAAGGGTTTAAATGGTTTAAGGGTATGCTTGATACAGAATATGCAGTAAGCTTATCACTTTCATTTATAGAATAGTGAAGTGGTAGATTAGGCAATATTTAAAATATGCAAAAAATGATGCACTTCAGCTAACTCTCATAAACTGCTGTTCCTCCACAGCCAATCGAATTTGTAAGAAAGGGTACAGACGCTGCATGAATGGCCGCTGTATTGGCCACCAGTTCTGGTGTGATGGCACGGATGACTGTGGCGACCACTCAGACGAACTGCCCTGCAACAGTAAGTAATGTCCATCCATTTTGTAGCAACTCATTCATCATTAGTTCACGTTCATCATCATGTTTGCCTTTATCAGAATTTGGCGCAATTTGAACTGTTCAACCACTGCGTTTTTGCTTACCTGATCAAATTACCTGACCTGCACCTTAACTGGATTAGTTCTGCCAGAGAAGAACTGAAGAAAAAATTCAACAGAAAGAGTGGGCTTTGAGGTCTTTGCCGCACTTCATGGATTGTTCTCTGTTGCGCTTGTTTCTTATTAACTTGTGTATTTGTTTACCTAATGAAATGCTTTGTGACAGGCACATATTAATGTTACAGAAGTTGACTGATGAGGAGGTTGTAGTTGCTTGTGAGGGTGTACTCACTCCCCATTTTTGAAAACCCCTGTGCATCCTGCAGTGACCTTGTGCAAAGCAGGAGAGTTCCAGTGCAAAGATGGAAGCTGTATCTCTAACTTCAGCCGCTGTGACCAGGTGGTCAACTGTGAGGATGCTGGTGATGAAATGAACTGCCGTAAGTGATCTATCATAATGATCTAAAAATTAATTTGATTCACATGGGGAAAAAATAGCTTAATGGATTAGTTCAGATTTCTTTAAATTTAGTGTTTAAAAATTGTTTTCCGTTATTTTTAGAACCCACTGATTGCTCCCGTTTCTTCCGCCTGGGAGTGAAAGGAGCGTCCTTCCAGAGCTGTGAGAAAACTACTCTGTGTTATCTGTCCTCATGGGTATGTGACGGCAACAACGACTGTGGGGATTTTTCAGATGAGCGAAACTGCCCAGGTTGGTTGCTTCGTTTTCCCCACTAAAATGCTTCCGGCTCTTCTAAAATGGTCAAAGATGCCACATGATTTTTTTCTGTTGTCTTGCAGATAAAAGGAAGCTCAAATGTCCAGTGAACTTCTTTGCTTGTCCCAGCGGTCGCTGCATTCCTATGAGCTGGACCTGTGATAAGGAGAATGACTGTGAGAACGGAGCTGATGAGACACACTGTGGTCAGTCTTCTACAGTCTTCTAATACCCTTATTTTTTCTTAAAAACACAAAGCATACCAGAAAAACCAGACTATTTTTCTTGAGGCTTTCCACTTCACATGGAAAACATGACTTACGGTTAGAGTAAATTAAACAATTTCTCTCTTCTTTCCATCCTTTTGCAGACAAATTTTGTACATCCACCCAATTTGAATGTGGGAACCACCGCTGCATTTCCTCCCACTGGGTGTGTGATGGCTCTGATGACTGTGGCGACGGTTCTGATGAGGACCAGAAATGCAGTAAGTGACGTATTACTTACGCTCACCAATGTAAAAGTACCTTCTCCCACGCTAAGTGGTGGAATTTCACTGCAAGCGTAAGATTTCCTGATGATCTATCCTCATGTAACCTTCCCATGATGTCATTACAGAATCCAAGACCTGCAGTCCTGAGGCTTTCCAGTGTCCCGGCTCCCACATGTGTGTGCCTCAACGCTGGAAGTGTGATGGAGACGAAGACTGTCCTGATGGAGCTGATGAGAGCGTCAAGGCTGGCTGCAGTAAGTGGAAGAGTTACAAAAAATCCCACTTGTGTTGTAATTGAAGACAAGTCTATTAACCACAGTGCCTTCTTTTCCACTTCCAGTGTACACCAACAACACTTGTGATGTCTTGAATGAGTTCGTGTGCCAGAATAGACAGTGTATCCCCAAGCACTTTGTGTGCGACCATGACACCGACTGCTTCGATGGCTCAGATGAATCTCCAGAATGTGGTGAGTGTGTGTGATTGTGATCCTGGGAAGAGAAACACAGAAAGACTGAGTGACAAGTTAGAAAAATTAGGTTGTGAATGACTGTGATTTGTGATCATTTTTGTTGTGTCACCAGCTGAAGTTGAAGTTAATAATAAACATACTCTTATTCTGGTGTAGAATACCCAACATGTGGTCCAGATGAGTTCCGCTGTGCCAACGGCCGCTGCCTCAACCAGAAGAAATGGGAGTGTGATGGAGAGTTTGACTGCCAGGACCACTCTGATGAGGCTCCCAAGAACCCTCGCTGCACAGACTCAGGCAGGGATCATAATCACCGTCTTTTAATCTCTTCATAACTTTTATTTCTCTACCAACATAATGAAGTATGAATCATATGGGAAACTTTTTGTTCAGAAAGGGCACTGCCACATCCTGGTTCAAATGACACTAATCTAACATGCCATTTGCCTGTGATTTCAGAGAGGACGTGTAATGATTCAGCCTTCATGTGCCGTAATGGGAAGTGTTTGAATGAGACTCTGCTGTGTAACCGCAATGATGACTGTGGTGACGGCTCTGATGAACTCAACTGCTTCATCAACGAGTGTCTCAACATTAAGCTGAGTGGCTGCTCGCAGCTCTGTGATGACCTCAAGATTGGCTTCAAGGTAAGCCATCTAATTGGTTGTTTTAATGCTTCCCCGCCGCCTCATCTTTTCAAGAGCAACTACAGGAAATTAAATTACTTTATGAACTCACTGACTTTAATTGGCCAAGAAATTATACATCTAGTAGGCACACCGTTACCTCACAGACAAATGGGGTGTATGGTTATTAATGGTGAGTTAGGGAGGATCTGAAGTAAAAGGATGGGAACCACTCACTCCAGGCATGCGG